CCTAAGTTTATATAGGCACTAGGGGTATCTAGGGTTACATATGATCGGTTGCCATCTGGGGATAAACATGCCGATAACTAAAGACATCCTTGGGTAGCATGTCAAGTCTTCGGCAGAGTCCATCTTCACCACGCCAAGGTTCGAGGCTTTCAGAGTCCTTCCTTATGAGATCGGTGGTCCATAAGCTCGGCCCATGGGCTGTAGGCCAACTAGGTTGGTACCCCCTAGTCCAGGACACCATCACCATGTCTGGGAGCCGATGTGGTTAGCACCCCTCCTATCCAGGACACCATCACCAAAGTGAAATCTATCAGCACGAGTATGAGCCCAGCATTCAGGCTCTTTACAAGGAGATGGACAAGAGACACGGGAGCAAAACCGTTTGTCTGCATCATTACTACAAAGAGCTTGGTGGACATGAGAAGTAGACAAGAAGGAACTATGAGACAACACCAAAGAGGCAAAGGCTCTACACCAATAGTTTTGATGATGATGGCTTGGTAGATAACCCATCCACTATTTATGTCCAACCAGATGGATAAACAATTGCAAAGGAAACAAAGAAGAATGGTGGCATTGGAGCATACATGAGTTAATTCCATAGTGGGGATGAGAGGGCATTGGCGACTGAACGCAAGGAGGAGGACATGACTTTTTTCTTTGAGATGAAGATGATGGGGAGGATGAGTGAAAGGCAAAGGCGGTGCCCCAGGAGAGGAAGGTGCTACCGGAATAAAAAATATTTGAACTTGAGATAAAAATGCTTGCATCGGTGACCAGGGTAAAATAATGGAAAAAGTGAGCCTGAGGAGCCAAAGCTTGCATTGGTGGTCGAGGAACAAAAAAGCAAAAGTGCTAATGACAGTGTTGTCATGTTTGTGGATCCTAGCAACATGAAAGAGAAGGTAAGATAATATCGAGAGTTCACTCGTGGAGATATCTTAGCTAACATGCGTGATGGGGCGGCAATGGTGGTAGCGGCGATGGTGGTGGCGGTAATGGAGGCAGTCACAATGGTGGTGTCGATGGCGCAAGTGCATGAAGCCCATATGCTACTATAGCTTCTGGTTCACCATGAAGACGGCGGCGGGTGCCTCTGAGAGTGCGCCGGATCGGTGTGTGTCCCAGACCCGACATTGTAGCTTGGTTGGGGCCTCTGGCTTTAGATGCCAGGCTTTGGTGCAAAGTCTGTTTGGTATTCGGGTCGGATTTTTGACACCCCTTCATCAAGTGGATAGGAGTAGCGACAGATGTTGCCGAGATGATGGCTTCAGACGTACTAATGTATTACTTTGTGAATAAATAATAAAGTGGTTGCTTGCATCGCCCAGATGCAGAGGCTAGAGGTCATCCTCCTTTCAGGAAAAAAATGTGTTGATATTTTTTTTGAATAAACTTGTTCATTTGGTCCCTTTTCACACAAAATATAGTTATGTTTGATGAATTGGTGAACTTTATTTATGGCCTAGTTCAATTATGGTATGGTGCATTTGAACTGTTTATGTTTGCTTTTAATGTGATGATTTTCTTTCAATTGTTTGACCAAAAGTTTGGAAGAATTGGCAAACCAATTTTTTGGGGGATTAAGAGCAACTCCAACGGGGCGTCCCAAACGGACGCGTGCTTTGTCCACTTTTCGTCCGTTTAGGTCAGCCAGGCAGACGTGCGCGTCCGCATTCTAAAATGGGTCGGCTTGACCGTCCAACAGGGAGGCTAACCCAAATGTGCCGACGTGAAAAAAAATAGCTCGTACGAAATAAACATAATTAAACATAAGTGACCGATCAAACACCGGCCAAAGTCCATTTAAACATTAACTAAAACATTAAAAGAAGTCTGCACCCGCCTACTGCCGCCCCGCACGCTGCCCTAGAAGTCGTCGGCCTTGCCCTTGCCCTTGGCATCGACCCCGCCGTCGCCATCGCTAGTGAGGTCGATGAAGACGGGAGCAGGGCCAGCCCATCCGCCTGGTACGCTGCTAGGGTAGCCTCCTCCAGCGTCTGCTGGGGCGGGGGCATTGCGGCTAGTCGCGCACGCCCCTCCTCCTCCTCCTCGAGTCAGAGCGCCTCCGCGTCGTGTTGGAGCATAGCCTCGTAGCGTATCTGCTCCTCGCCGTCGGCCTGCTCCTGGCAGAGCCAGTGCGCCTTCCAGCGCTCGAGGTGAGCGGCCTCCTGCGCCGGCGTCGCGGTGAAGTGGACGGGAGGCGCGCTCACCCACTCGTGGTACTGGCCCGTCCATGAGTAGGCCTCCTCCACCCAAGTGGGTGGAGGCGGGGAGCGCTTCCGCGTCGGCTCCGGCTCCGGCTTGGGCTGAATGGGCGGCGGCACAAACAGCGGGGTATGGACGGAGTCCCCCGCAACCCATCCCAGTGCGCGTCCTCCTCGAGGCGGCTAGCCTCCACGCGTGGTGCAGGGCCTCCTCGAGGGCGGCTTGGTACTCCGCGCTCCGCCTCCATGTCCTTCGGCTCTACCTGCGGGGCGGCAGTGGGAACGGCGGCAGGACGACGTCGACACCCGAACGCCGTTGCTCCTCGCGTTCGAGGGCGAACCAAGCCTCCCAGTTGGGAGAGTCGGCGGCGTACTCAGGCAGCCGATGCTGCTCCGGCGTGAGCTGCGCGCGGCGCCGGCGCACCTCCTCGTCGTGCGCCCGCGGGCTCCGCGGAACCGCCGGCACCTGGATCCGCTGCGGATCCAGGTGCCAACGCTGCGGTGGCGTGACGTCAGGGTACGGCAGCGGTTGCCTGTACTCTCAGTGCCACCGCGCTTGGTGCACCGGGATGTGTAAGCACCGGCGCCGGCTGAGGAGGGGGAGGGGGAGTACGAGGCGGCGGGGGTGCCCTTGCCCTTACCCTTGCCATTGCTGCTACCGATGAGGCCCATGGCGCGCTAGGGTTTGCTGTCGCCGGCCAGGAAGCAAAAGGAGTGGTGGGGGCGCAGATGTGGATGAGAGAAATGGATGAGACCGGCCCCCGCCGCACGCATGCTTAAGAAAGGACGCTTCCACTAGCTGACTAGTGGGCCCGCTGTTGGTGGTCGTCATAAATAAGACGACGGGTGGCGGTTGGGTGGCCTACAGGTGGGGATGCGGCGGACACCGAGGAGACGCGCGGCGCGTCCACGCCGACGCATTCCAGGCGTAACTTTGGGCCGGAAATGGGTCGGCCAGGACACTAGCCGGGCGCGATTTGCGTTTGGATCGACGCATTGGGCCTTCATTTTCGTCTGTGCCGATTCAAACGGTCGCAGGCGGACGAAATGAATTGCCCCATTGAAGTTGCTCTAAAATATAGAGAATCTGTTAGTTGAGAAAAAAGTTTAACTTCTTAAAACACTTAGCTTTTTTGAAATATATACAAGGTCTGAGGGATTAGGTTTACGGATCTGATAGATAGAGATGCTCATAGAAGCTGTACGCGTGTCCAGTATTTGCTACTGCCTGCACTAAGATTCTGATTTCCGAACCGCGATCCCGGTACCACAGTACAGTAGTATTATTTACTGGTCCACTCTGCTGATGCACGCTCGTACTAGTAGTACGAAAAAAACAAGGAAACGACAAGATTGCAGGAATCTGACTCACGGGTATGTGCATTCAAGCATGGCTGACTTGCAAGCGAACGCGCATTCATCATGGCTATGGCCTGGGTAGAAACAAAAATACGTCACGGGAGCACAGTCAAAACTCTCTTCACACCAGCCAGCAGCGAGTGCGATGTGCGTGAAGAATCGCCCGATGGCGCTACCTCCGTGCGCACCGGCCAAGCTGTTTCCCCTTGCTTGTGAGTTGTGAACGACAAGAAAATGTGTCGGCGTGCACAGCTCCACCCGGTTTCTCCTCCTCATATCTCATCTTCGGTATCCGAGCTTCGACCTGTTATCAGCTGCCACCTTGCCATCCTCCCGACAATGGCGCCCGGGAGTTGAAAATAAGATAGGATGGGTAAAACCCCTCGTTTAACTTGCCAAGAGTACTTAGCATTTTTCGTGTGCTTGATTAAGAAGCGCCACTAGTGTTCAGAAGTGGCCAGCACCGTGACTTATTATAACAATAATAATTTAGATTATAGAAGGCCGTCGGTCTCGCCCGGTATTCTTGCCCTGTGGCACTCAAACATGTCTCTCTTTCGGAGATGCTGATGGTTTTCAGCTGCTTTGCGTGCAACCACCTACCTAAAGCGAAAGCGCTTATCTATTCTACTGCATTATCGACGTGTCACCGAATTTCCTTTGGCTCGTTTATAGTAGTTCCGCAACCACAATCAAGTAGTACTACTACTAGAGATGGTAAAAGGCAAAGAAACTGAAGACAGACTCTAAGCTCATTGTTCGACTGCAGATTGTACACCACCATATGTTGTTTATCGTGTGACTCCGCATGCAGTGATGAGCAGATTTAGACTTCCATCTACTCTCGCTAATGATGGTACTCGAACATGACCTCACCTCACACCTACTTGTGCGACCGGGGTTCGGGGTCGAGCCGATCATTGGTGGACTCATTTTTATTTTTACCGCAAGAAAATAGTTGTACTAGCAGCACTGTAGCGCGGTGGTGCAGTGCAGTGGTTTTGGGTGCTCGACAAAGTGGCACCAAAACGCTGCAAAAAGCTAAAGGCAGGAGGTAGCCTCTAGAGCCCCTATTGACTATTGCCACATTTCTCACCCAGTGCCCCCACTGTCCCCACCACCACCAGACCCCATCCCTGTGAATGAAAATGTTGTAAAAAAATACTACTCCAGTAGAATAACGGGGGTGGCGAGGCGAGCCAAGCGCCAAAGGAAAGGGAATCCTGCTACCATAAAAAGCAGGGCGTGGGCGGGCGAGCAGAGCACAAGCAGACTCGCTTGGCCGCACCCGCCACCGGTGTCCCCTTCTTCGTCAGCTTGCAATCTCCACCCACCTCACTCCCACTCCCACCTCCCACCCCCCGCTCTTTCTACACATCGAGGACGAAACGGTGGTGAGGGAGCCGGGGGACTAGCTGCTAGGCGGAGGAGGAGATGGAGCGAGGGCTCGTCGCATTGCTGGGTCTGGGGCTGGCGCTTCTTCTGCTGGCGCCCTCCCGTCGTCTCGCCTCGGCCGCTCCGGTGGAGGACGGTATGCTCGCTCTTCCGCCCCTTTCTTCTCCCCCCTTTCTCGACCGGTAGACAGTGTTGTTGCTCTCCTTTATCGTCTGCAACTGCTCATTTCAAGCGATTTCGGCCGTCTTTGAGTGCGGTATTTAGCTGGCGGAATCAGATCTCATCAGTAGTAGAGAAAATCATGGGCCTTGGCGCATTGCGTGCATTAGGAACCACCGCTTTTTTCTTTCTTTTTTTGCGTTGGTGAGGAATGAGTGGGCGGACACCAAGTTAAATGAAGCATTTCCCACTACTTTTTAGAGTATCATAAGGTATATACTCCATTGTTGCAAAGTAAAGAGTCCGTCCTGAAAGGCGAGCAGAGCGGGGCCAACAAGATAGTTTCAAATGCAGTGCGTGCGCGTGCTCTCATACTCCATCATTGCAAATCATTCACAACTCAGAGAAGAAAACGTGAAACGCTAGTTGAAATTTCTTCTTTATCAACTCTGAAGAGCCAAACACTGAACTGTCCCTGTCTTGCGCCAAAACTTTTCATCCACTGCCGCTATGTTTAGTGCCGTCGCTTCTCATGGCAGATAGTAGGAGTTTTCCACTTTGCTTAATTATAACATCTCCTGCTTCAGTTGAGTTTGCCTCTTGTTCAGTTTACTGCATCTCGGCATGTGCCTTCTCTGAAGAAACATGGGACTAAATAACATGCCATATGTTAATGTATTAGTATTACTTATTCGGCAAGTTTTTGTTCGTTTGAAAATGACCGATAACCCCCAGCCCCAGGTGAGTCTCATATCTTTGTCACAACCATGTTCTGTGCAAGTGTTTGCTGAAACTGAAACCACCATGAAGAATCATAAAATTTACAGACTTATCCATTATCCATGGAAAGATAACACGATTCCTCCATAAAGGACCCATTTTCCTGCATTGTCTCAAGAGGTTCCGTCGACCTTTATTACTGTGCCGACGGCGTCACAGCAAGTCAAAAGGATATCACGCGCTGCAATAAGAAACTGGGATCCAGACGGAGCAGCACAGCAGAGCCCAGCGTCCTGCGAAGTGTGTAATGAATGGCCTCATAGGGGTCAAATGGCCTATTCAAAAGGGTGGCCGTGGCCGCGAGGGACCGTCCCACATCTTTTTTATTGCCTCCGTAGTAGTAGTACCTTCACCTTCCCAAATTTACGCGTCTTGGTCTGCTGCATTGCCCTGCCCTAGGTCGCAATGTGCATGGGGCTCCATGTCCATGGTACCACCACGATACTGCTATGGTCGATAGGCCGGTTTTGGTGGATGTCTCCCTCGCCCTCACCGCATAAGATGGCTGGGCGTGGTCACTCACATGGCTCATGGCTGGCCGTCCTTGTGAGAACAGTGACGCCTAATCAAGGTGGCCTTAGTACTAGTACTGCCTCCCATGAATTGCCTGGGGTGTACAATGGAAAAAAATTAGGACGTGCTTCTGTTTTTAGCACTGTTAAGTCGTGGCGTAAAAGGAGCCAGTTTCCACAAAAGAAATGGAGTGTCAAACAGGACTATCCAGTTTCCTTTAAAGGGAAAATATTCAGGCAAGAGGTCACTCCCAAGTATCAACTATTGGAGGTACAGATTAAAGGAAGGCTTAATTCTCCTGAAGCACAGAGTGAAGACCATGTATTTGAACAGCTTCAGTGATTGGATTTCTGCGCATCTGTGATGTTGGCAGCTGCTAGCTTCTTCTGTATGCTGTGCAGCTAGTTTTTGCTTAGCTTTTTCTCTTTTTTCTCCTCCCCCTTTGTATACATACTATACTTCTATATGAAAATCTTACCTACGGTGTACACTTCAAGAAAAAAAAAACTATCTTTACTCTAGTGTGACTGCTCTGCTCATTTCACCGTACATGAAGTATAGATTGGGTTTTTACTTATCAGATCTGCCCAATTTATTAGTAGTAGGACTGTGCATTCTTTTAGTACCTATGCAGCAAGGGTCCAGCCCATAATGTACTATGTATATGCGCATCAAATTTACTATGGTCCATCCTATACAGCCTCGTACAGCTACATATTGTACATTCTTTTAGCATCTATGTGATAAATACGAGTACTATGGTTTTGATTGCAGAGCAGTTGGTGTATATCATTTACAGTTGTCACGCGGAGTACATATATTCCGTAGATGTTCCTTAGCATTTGCTGTCTTACGTACTACTCCCTCCATATCAAAATATAAGACCCCTTTTGACACTATCATAGTGTAAAAAAACATAGTATATTTTCATACATAGGGAGTACTAGTTACAATGATTTGGTATTGATCATGGCACTTACATGAGCATATGATCCTTGTGAAACAGGCCTCCTCATGAATGGTGATTTCGAGACAGCACCACCTGGCGGTTTCGTCAAATCTGCTTCAGTTTCCGAGGGCGCAGCGATCCCAAGCTGGATGATCAATGGAACAGTTGAGCTCATTTCCGCAGGCCAGCACCAGGGTGGCATGATCCTTATTGTTCCACAAGGTACGTATCCACTTGAGCTGCAGTCTCTGAACGATAGTCAGTTAACACCCGAGTTCATCTGGTATGTGGTGCGTGTGTTTAAACATTTGGGTTTGATTTGATGGCAGGCGATCATGCTGTGCGGCTAGGGAATGATGCAGGCATTGGGCAGGTGGTGGAGGTTGAGAAGGGCTCAGAGTACGCGATCACATTCAGCGCCGCCCGGACCTGCGCGCAGCTGGAGTCACTGAACATCTCCGCTGGGAGCGTGTCGCAGACAGTCGACCTGCAGACACTGTACAGCATAGAAGGCTGGGATGCATATGCACTGGCTTTCCAAGCAGTGGATGAGCAGGCCAGCATTGAGTTCAGGAACCCTGGCATGGAGGACGACCCGACCTGTGGGCCTATCCTTGACAACGTGGCCATCAAGAAGCTCTTCTCCCCCGACAAAGCAAAGGGTATGATATATAACCATAGCACCACAATGAAATTTCCGTAACTCTCTCCATGTTTTTGGTATATTATGTTTATCGTTTCTGAAATATCAGTAAACTTTACACTGGTCAGAAGTGCTCTAGCTCATTGTCCCTGCTTGCATTATGTGGTGTCTTTGTTTTGAGCAGAGAACATGGTGATCAATGGGGACTTTGAGGAGGGGCCATGGATGTTTGCAAACACAAGCTTCGGCGTCCTGCTCCCGACGAACCTCGACGAGCAGACGTCGGCCTTGCCGGGGTGGATGATCGAGTCGAACCGCGCAGTCCGCTTCGTTGACTCCGACCAGTACACCGTTCCCCAGGGGAAGCGCGCCATAGAGCTTCTCTCCGGCAAGGAGGGCATCATCTCGCAGATGGTGGAGACGACCCCTCAGAAGGCGTACACCCTGACGTTCACGCTGGGCTCAGCAGGCGATTCGTGCCAGCCGCCAATGGCCGTCATGGCGTTCGCCGGCGACCAGGCCCAGAACTTCCACTACGCCCCCATGGGCAACGCCACGAGCCAGGCCGTGAACGTGAATTTCACGGCGCGCGCCGAGAGGACGCGCGTCGCGCTCTACAGCGTCTACTACAACACGAGAAGCGACGACCACAGCTCGCTCTGTGGGCCGGTGATCGACGACGTCCGCGTCTGGGGCTTGAACGGGGCTGCTGGGTTGAAGGCGAGCATCAGGATGCTTATTGCCATGGCTAGTGTCATCGTTCTTGTGCTGTTCTGATCTTCTGAATATACGTACGTATGTAACCTCCCCTGCAAGGACGAGGAGGCCACTAGTTTTGTTAGCAGTAAGCCTGAGGTTTCTATGAGATTGATGAGTAATGTGAGCTTAGGCTAAAGCTACCAGTAGCTGTAAGTGGTTGTTTTGTTGCTTTCTTGTGTGGTTCAGAAAGTAGCAAGCCATGATGGGATTGCGTGGTCAGTGAGCCAAGGGCTTGTGATGTGAGATGTAAGAATTGTTTCAAGTTCATCTCTTCAATGCAGTAGAAAGTTCAGTAATCTTGTCTCTGTTAGAATTATGTCGAATATTATTGACTTGGTTTGGACTGTGTGTAGACAGGGTAGGAGTTGTGTCCTAATAGGACACTTGTATCCTAGGCCTCTCATATATAATGAGGGTAGACACACGATGTAACCTATGCCAACATAATAGCACAGGCATGCGGGGGAGCCGGCGGCGTGTGCCGGCGCCCGGGTGGCCGGGGTGCGGTATTGTGACGGTGTCATGGGAAGGAGCGCCCGTAGTCATGCCCCGGGGATGTAGCCATATCGGTGAACCTCGTTAACAAATCTCGGTGTCGTGCTTGTGTGATTGTTTGATCCTCGGTAGAAAGACGAAGCGCCTCGGTTTTATTCTAACAAGTGGTATCATGAGCAAGGTTGCAAGGTCTGAAGGTTGTGGATCGTTGATTTAGAGGAGAGCGACGAAGACCGGCGGCTGTGGAGGTAAGGCGTACGTGCAGCAGCGATCGGAGATCGACGCGTATAAAGCAATCGGAATCAGAGAAGCAGTTCACGGTAGAGTAGGCGAGATTAGAAGTTGCAAAAGATCGGAAGTGCGTGCGGCGGTAGCTGTGTTCGAGGTGGCAGGATCCGAGCGGAACACGTACAGCCAGCGGCAGCAGGGAGGCCGCTCGCGAGGCTCGACACACGCGTGGCCGGCGAGCTAGCGTGCTTTCCACGCCGATCGCTCGTTGGAGACTGGGGCTGGGCTAGATGCAGCAGCAGGCCCATGGCACTCAGATGGCCCAGGCGCAGCAAGCTAGACACGCAGGAGGTCGATGAGGGAGCAGCTTTGGTCGCTACAGGTCTACAGAAGGAGCTTCGGTGCATGCAGGTGACAGGAGATTTGTTAAAAGGAAAAGAGCAATCAAAAGTCAAGGGCATGATCCAGGACACGTTGTGTATTTGGTGCTGTTTGTGCTAGTCAAAAGTACATGGAGTGCATGCATCAGGAAGATACGTGATGTGTAAGAGGAGGACTGGTGTTGGCTGTTGGATTGCGATTATATTCTCGTGGTTCTAGACAATTACAAGGAATATCAAGGTCATGGGCAGCAGGGATGGTTCCTGTATAGTTTAGATGGTGTTGGCATGATCAGCTTGCTCAGCGGACTACGACAATCGGCAGAGTTAGGTTTGCAAGTGTTGTCAGGGCCGTAGAGCATGGACGACGTGGACAAACAAATACAGAGTCGTGCGAGTCCTGATGGTTTTAGCGAGAGAAGCCATTAGGTGAGCAGCGGGTGATCGGAGAGCCACACGGCAGGAGGACAACTGGTGGGGCGTGGTCGGACTGATGGCTTTTGGTCAGTTAGAACGTCCTACGACAGAGACGACAGTAAATTGGCGACGTGCGTATAAGGCTTGTGGAGCCTGGAGCGCGTCGTGAGGGATCATGCAGACACAGGGCATCAAGCAATGCACTGAGACGTGCGGGCGGGCAAGATGCGGGGTGGAGCATGATTGCAGTCGGATAACTTCGGCTGGGTCAGACTAGACTGTCTGACGGATCGACGGGGATGTCGGTCAAAGAAGAAGACGGCGGTGATTTCAGCGACGACGACATAGGAGCGTGATGCTGATGGTGGCCGACTTCTGGGGCGTGGAAACACGTGGTGCGGGCCCGAGGGCTTGTGCGGCTTCGACAAGACTATGGCGCAGGGTTGATTCAAGGCAGTGCACACATGAGAGAGCTTGAAGTCGACGAGGCGCGAGGATGGACTGATCATCTACCATGGAGTCATGTTGAAGGTGGAGCTGGAGTCTGATGGACGACTTCACTCTGAGCTGATGGAGGGGCTACGGCGTAAGAATTCGGAGAGTCGAAGCCTATTTCGGCAGGATAGCGAGAGACACGTGGATCGGACTGGGTACCAGTGGTCTGATGGAGACGTGATACTCGGCATCGGTCGGTGATGATCGGTGGTTCTCTGCAGTAGGGATTTGAGTGGTGTGGGTTCGCGGCCCGGGAGACTCGACCAGGACAGCAGAGGCTCGACGCGGTGATAGCGACGAGGCGTGCGGTAAGCACGGAACATAGCGATAGGCCAGGGCATCGGTGGTCAGATATGTTGTTAGACAAAGTGTGCAGGGGGTGCTGAAGCAGTGTTGACGAGTACCGGATTCAAGTTGGTGACTGGGTATATCGGTGCCGGAAGATGGACAAGAGTTGACCATGGAGAATCTGTGAAAGTGATGGAAAGTCTGAAATTGTCAAAAGCGGAGAGAGTACATGGCCGTATATTCTGTGGTGTTCGGTGCACATGGCAAAGTGCGGGTGACAAGTACAGAAGGAGGTCGAGTGCTATAGTTGTGGTACATGCTAGAGACTATCCGGGAAAAGGGTGAGACAACTATGAATTTGACTCAGGGTGACACAGGGCGACGATGAAATTCCTTCAAGTTTCAGACAGACGGTCATGAAAGAGCGGTGATGTTGAGTTCAGTTGGGAGCACAAAGTAGAGTAACGAGGAACTTAATTTTTTTTGCTCGAGTGTTGACTGTGATGAAGACGAGAAGGGACTACAGTTGCAGGTGGAGTCACATGGAGTCTGGGAGTAGCAGCGGTGCTCATGGTGTATCTCAAGTCCAATGTACATGGAGGTTCGACGCACAGACGAATTCAAGGTGGTGAAGAATATTCGCCAAGGTGGAGTTTGTTAGAATTATGTCGAATATTATTGTACAAGGTAGGTTACAGTTGGACTTGGTTTGGACTGTGTGTAGACATGGTAGGAGTTGTGTCCTAATAGGACACTTGTATCCTAGGCCTCTCATATATAACGAGGGTAGACACACGATGTAACCTATGCCAACATAATAGCACAGGCACGCGGGGGAGCCGGCGGCGTGTGCCGGCGCCTGGGCGGCCGGGGTGCGGTATTGTGACGGTGTCATGGGGAGGAGCGCCCGTAGTCATGCCCCGGGGATATAGCCATATCGGTGAACCTCGTTAACAAATCTCGGTGTCGTGCTTGTGTGATTGCTTGATCCTCGGTAGAAAGACGGAGCGCCTCGGTTTTATTCTAACAGTCTCTGCTTTTCTTTGGCTTCTTGTCTGAATCTTATATGCCGCAGTTGCGATTTTGTACTAACCAGCTATCGGGGGTTGGGTGCGACATATGCCAAAGGATGGCTTATCATGGTGGGGGCGAGTAGAACGTCGCCGGTGCCTGGAAACGGGATGAGGCGAAGACATGCACGTCGGCGAATCTTACCCAGCTTCAGGGCTCTCTGGGGAGATAATACCCCTGCTGCTGCTCTGCGGAGTCTCCGCATGTTCACTATGGCAAAGGGTTTACACGATTGCTCCTAGAGCTGTTTCCTGAAGGTAGGAGAAGGCAAGGCTAGCTCTCTCCTTCCTGTATGGTCTGGTCTAGTGCTAATGGATTCCAACCCTTTGCATGGGTGCCCTGGGAGTTTATATAGGCTTACCCCCCAAGGGTACAATGGTAATCCGGCTGGACACGGGCCCAGCCGTCAGTGCCTCCGGCCTCCGTCTTCTCCGTCGACTGCTGGGGCCCGCCGACTGGCTAGGTACGGAGCCGACAGGCTGCGTCCGCCACGGGTAGGTCTTGCCGGCTGCTGATTACTGTAGCCGTGCTTCTAATGACGTGGGCTTCGTCATGGAGTCGTGGAAACACGCCCCGCCGCCTGGCGGGCGATCACTATTGCCACTCTTCATCACATCTGGTTAATGGTGTGTGGGCCCCGGGGGAGGAGCCGGCCGACTCTCGGGGGCCGACTCCCGACGGGTCCGACTTGTGGCGCACTTGCCGTCTTCTGGGATCCCGCTGGCCGGTGGGACCCGCCACCCAAAGGTCGTACAGACAAGCCGTCGTGGGCGCATGATTTGGTCCACCGGTGCTGATGTCAGGGCCAACATGGCAACACTGCCACGCCGCACGGAGATCTCCTCGGGTACGGCGTACTGTGACCATGCCTGCCTTTGGAAAGGGGTGGGAGCAGTCTTCACTGTAGCCACTCCCCTGTCCTTTCCCTCTTGATGAGGACGTGGGGTTTTGCTGGAGTCGCGGGCCGACTCCCCAAGGCCGGCTTCTCTGGAAGTCGCCAGTCAGGAGTCGGCTTATCCTGAAGTCATCCACAGGACTCGGCCGCGAGTGGGCAGTCGGTCACCTTGCCGCCGACTTCTCAGAAGGCGGCTCTTCGTCCTGGGGTCTTGAGGGGCGCAGCCTGCCCCGATGTCTTGAAAGGTTCTGGGGCTCGGGTGAGCCTACCCGTGGCCCATTACTCCGACAGTAGTCCCCGAAGCTGGTGAGGCGCCGCGGTCGATCGGCCGAGAAGCCTCAGCAGTTTCTCTTTCCGGGTGCTCGACACATGGTTCTCGCTTGACTTCTGCCGGGCCGGCTAGAAGGAGTCGGACTCGCCCAACTCTGACTCGCACAATATTTCAAACGTCGCGGCGGGATCCAAATAGCGTGCTGGCTAAGCCTCCAGGCCGCCGCCCGTTCCGGGCCTGTCACGTGATGACACGCGGCCAGGCCAGTCTGCCAGCCTACGCGCGTGACGGGACAAGCCCGTAGGCGGGGCCCGCCACTACCGTCCCTCGGCGCCCGAGCGGATCCGCTGTGGCCCAGGCGGACGGTTGGGATTCCCGTGGAGTTACTGCGCGCAGTAACTTTGTCATGGAACGTGGGGGTCGTGGGGCCGTGGGCGCAGTAAATCCCACGACCGCCCCCTCGGCTTCGCAGCCCACG